GCACCATTGAGAGCCAATCAGATTGCAAGGATAGCCAGTGATTTCAAAATGGATTTAATAAATAAATAAATAAATCACTTTATTTATTATTGAAATGTCAAAGTGTTAAGCACTACAGCTGTACAAGCAAACAAATATTGGGAATTAAACAGCAACTTGTTAAAAATCCCAACTGGTGGGAGGTTGACCACTTGGCTATTTACAAAGCCTGGAGGAGTTGAATTTGAGACCACCAAACACAAATCCATCTAGTGGCAGGGAGGAGCATTTGAACTTGGAACCTCTGGATTACAAATCCAGCCCGCTAACCATTAGGCCATGCCGCCTCCACTAAAGCATAAAAGAGTTGGTCAGGAGTCAAACACTTAGTCTAACAAGGAACAGAGATTTCAAAACAATTTGTAAAATAATCTTTTGAAGAAGTGATTAACATAAGAACTTGGACACTTCCCATCCAGATCACTATACTGAGTGAACTAACAATCTCTGTCTACTATCCATTCCCTGCTCAGCAAGCACATAGAGCCACTCAGAAGTAACCTTACAGGGAACGATGATGTTAGTATCAGAAACGATTATGGAGCAGGATAATCTTATGGAATGGGACTTGCAATAAATGAAATGGGACTCTAGTGAGTGCCCCCCTTTTCAATAACCACTCCTGCTGTTTTAAATAAGCGTCCCCTTCCAATAAGTGCCCTCATAGCAAATTGACATAGCAATCAAGCCATCAACATAGAATTTATTAGACAAATGAATTATCCAGTCAATGTAGTCGGCATTGATTTCTCATCTGAATGTAATGTTGATCACATTGATTTGGTATAAAAATGTTTGAATATAAGGGCTCTCATTACAGTTCTAGAGTTAATTAAAAGTCTGTTGTTTTATATTAAATAATTATTGTTGTACCTCATTCAGATGAATTACGTACATTCAAAATGAAACAAGTGCCCCATTGCACCCATATCTGATAAGTGCCTCTGCCTAGTGTCTGATGCATACTATTAGTCAAGGTGTACCTTCTCACAAATATCACATCTCTTTGCAACAACTTTCAAGGTTCCGAACTTGGAACTGCATAAAAGGCATGTATCTCTTCCATCTCCAATGGCATTATTGCGCATGTTATCCAACTTCTCTACCAGTCGCCTAGACAGAAATATCCAGCAGTACCAAATACTAGATTAAAACATGGAATGAATCTACAATATTTATAGAGATGTAAAAAGAAATAAAATAGTTTGAACCAAAAGAAAATTCTTAAAATGACCTTATAACTTAATCAAAGACCCCTTGCCTGAGCTGCCTCATGTCACCTTTCTAGTGCGAAGAAATCCACTGCTAAACCAAACAAATGTAATGCAAGCGTAACGCTAGATCAAGTACACAGGATACATTTTTACTTCTGTTAATTTTACGAATAAAATTTGATCTGGCCAGATTCGACCCTTATTGACAATAATTATTAATTTTAATTTGTAATTTAGACCTGTTTGCTTACTCTCAGAAAGTGGGCATTATATGATTACAGTGTTTTTTAACCATCTCATTGTGATCCCTAGATTTTACTAATGTTATGGTTGCATTTAGCTTTTTGGGACACTATTTACAACCCTTTATCAAAAGGGTTTCCTCATAAAAACAGATTGTCACAGAGAACTTTTCGAATTCCTGATGTCTTCCATTTCAGGAACATTTACATTTTATTAAGTACAGATTAACCAAAAGTTTGTAAATCAGAATTATTTGCATCAAAGGGCGAATATATATTCAAAACCGGTTAATGATAGAGGTGGAAGGTGTGGTGGCCTCATGGTTAGTGCACTGGACTCTGGAACAAGCAGTCCGGGTTCGAGCCCTGGCCTGGGACATTGTGTTGTGTCAACTCTTGGCAGGGCAAGATGTTTTACTGTCACAGTGCCTCTCTCCACCCAGGTGTATAAATGGGTACCGGTAAATTTAATGCTGGGGGTAACCTTGCGATGGACTAGCATCCCATCAAGTGGAGAAGAAATACACCTAGTTGCTTTATGCTATAGAAACCAGGATAAGCTCCGGCCTGACAGACCATTTGACCTATTCCACCAAAACAAATTTCAATTGTGCTCTCAATATCTTCCAAAAAGAGGCTTCACCAATACCATACATATGCAAATTTATTTTATGGCTAGCTCCATGAGTGGGCAAGATGAACCAAGTCCTGCACTGTGATTGGCTACTCGAGCAGGCAAGATAGAGCTATCTTGTTGCTCAGGACTACCTCCTGTGTCCCACAAGAAAAAAAATCTCCTAAAAGCCACGAGGTCAAGATGGCTGGATATTGGCCTTGTTCTTTTTTTTTGCGAGTTTATGGACCTTGCCTCCAACTCAGTCCATAAACACAACATCTGAGTATATATGTAAAGTGTGCAATATTTCCCCCAGAAAAGAAAACTTCTCTTTTTTTCTCACATTACACTAGCAATCCATTTTTTAATTTACATCACATTTAGCAATTAGCCATGCAAATACCTCTACTCTTTGTCTCTCTTTCAATGATTGATTTTGACATTCAGTCTTTTTTTAAGTAATTGCTGTAGCATTGCTGATCAATGTTGTTGTAGATTATCCAAATCAATAAGTAAATAAATGTACTTAGAGTTAAGTATTGGGTAGCATTTTGGGAGAACACCATTGTATTGTAAGTAATGTTTTTAATTGTACGTTTCATGTGAAAGTATCTCATTATAAGCAGTCTAAGTATTGTACGACAGGGTTGTATCTAGTAACACGCCAACCGAGGCACTTGCCTCAGCAAAAATTTGGAATTTTTTTTTATTTTTTCAAGTTTCCATAATAGGCTTAATGCAATAAAAGAAATAATTGAATTATATACAAGAAACAGTTTCTTTTTTAAGAATTTTAGTCTGGCTTAAAGGTCATGTAAGAACAGAGCACAGTATCTTAAGTAGTGAGAGTACCCAGTATTGATATGTAAATAATAGCACTTGTACTTAGCAAATCATGTTATAAGTATTTTTCTTTCTTTTGTTGGAATAAATAAATATCACAAAAAAGAGGTAATATGGTAATTCAAACTTATGAGAGCCTTGATAATCATGAAAATGACAAAATTTAATTATACATGAAGACTGGTTGTCCTTGGGCGGGAAGGATTCAGTGACCTTTCAATTCAGTTAGTAAGGGTTAAAGGCCAGTTCAAGCTTAGAAATGAAAAACACAAGCTCACCGGGAAAAGTCAAGGCTGTTTTATCGAAATAAAGCACTGCATTTAATTTACAGAGATCATTAAGTCCAGTCCTATATAAAAGTTTTTTTGTTACGAATAACTGAGGTAAGTCTATTAGATGTCTGGATACAATCAATTGTCTTCTAATTAGCCTAACAGATCAAAATGGTCAGAACCAACCAATCAAACATTAGCTAGCAGGTATTGATCATTAGAAAAATATATCAATTCACTAATACTCCAACAAGCATCTTTATTTCAAGTGCTTATGGGGAGGCAGTTCTCAAAAAATATAACTACCAGAAACGTTCATTATGTACTGCGATTATCATTATTGACCGCAATGCACTGAAACGCTTTTTGACCAAAAGAAAACAAATTATACTCAATGTAAACATCAATTGAATGCAAATCACGGCAGCCAAAGTGTTAAATTTTAATGTAGAATATATATTACATTTACATTTTCTTTCATTCCGCACACAAAAAAAACTCAACCTCAGGGATCTCTAATGATGTTTTAGTTCGGCTTAATATTTCTTACCCGATCCTCTCTTCTTCGACTTGACGAATTCTATCAGCGCGCTCCAAAACATTTCTGATGATCTCTTGTTCGTTGTCAGTGATATCTGTCTTTCTGCCAGTCTTCCTTGCGGGCCCACTTGAATGAAAAGACCATCCCGAATTTAGCCTAAAATGAGGTGAAAAATAACCCTCACTAACGATGTACTTCAAGCTAGTGCATTTATCTATCAGCTTACTCTTAATTAGCATCCAAAAGTTCACAAAATTACAACGTAAGCTTATTTAATCTTGCAAACTGAAAGAGGATAAAGAATCAAGCCTGATTGAAAATAGAACGATCAACCAGAGAGAAAAAAGCAATGTACTAACAGCAAATTCTCCAAAGACTTGGGCCATCTCGTACGAGTTTTCTTAAAAAATCTTTTCAAGACTTTCTTGGGACGGAAACACATCGTGTTTTCATGGCCAAACAAAGCGTTGTGTACAATCGACCACTCGCAGGTATCTCAAAACCAAACTGACAACACGCACAGAAAAAGCAGAAAGAGATGATAAGAATGGCTGTAAAAACCAGGTGTTTGCGGCTAAAACAATTTTGAATTATTTAGGAACCGGAAACAGAACATTCATTCGCTGTTCTGTTCTGTTCTGTTCTGTTCTGTTCTGTTCGCTGTGCGTAAGATAACAAAACAACCAGATTTCCCTCTATAGATATGGTAAATAATTCTGTCACGGTACGTACTAGCTAAAGTTAACTCACTTCGCTCTTAAGTTCAATTGCCGATCGTTCGGGCAAACCCATCGTTGTTCTTCTTCACTGGCTAATTCTCCCATGTCTGATTCTTTTCTCGAGGAAAATCAGCAAAGCTAACATTAAGTTGGAGCGGCGGGAAAATCTTGCGTCGTCTTCATCGCTCGACAGCCTGCGTCGAGTCAAATGAACAGTTCACTTCCTGAAGTGGGTGTGCAAATTTACTCAACGGGGGAGAAAAATCACGCCAGCAATAAACACAGAGCAACTTGAATTTTCTCCACAGCAATGCTTGAAACCATTAAAATCTGTGCAAAATCTCGTTACCTCCCACTTACACTCGAAAGTCAAACAATCCAGCACAGTACGAAAGTGTTTTCCATGACTCCGTGTACCACGTGATCGAACAATCTATGAATTAATATTTTCATTTATAACTGATTAATAATTCTAGGCAGGCATGAGCTCAAAATGGCTGCGATGTGTTTATCAAAAGAGCAGTGCCGAGGTTAGACTGATCTGTTTTCCTTGGGCTGGAGGTGGAGCGGCATTCTATGCAAACTGGGGAAAGAAGTTTGCTGGCGAGATTGAAGGTTTGATGCTCTTTTATTGTTGGAGATTCCAGAACCGTTTGTTTCAGCAGAGATAAGCGAATGTCAGATATGTTTTGGATGTTTTGACGGCTTGTCTTTGATCTAATAATCATGCGTTAATGTCGGTATTTAGAAAGCAATTGAAAATCCATTAGTTTGCCGTCTGATCGACTCAGTTAAAGATGTTGAATGGAGATTAGTATAGAACAGGAAGTTGATCTGAAATTTGCATGGGAGGCAAGGAGGAGAGCAGAATTTTAAAACGAGTATATAAATATTCAGAGCGGAGGAAGTCGATCCTGGTGTTTTCTTAAGGCGATTAGACCTGAAAACAAGATCTCTTTCATAATCTTTAATACACTGATGCTTTAAATAATAGCTATATACTCAAAGAAGCCAGAGTCCAATTCCCCACCCCCAGGCACCTAGTAAAATGTCAAATTCCTTCCCCTAGGGTAACCTATTTCTGTCAGAGACACACCTTAATAATTGATGAGGGGTTTTACATAACTTACAAATAGTGTTTCAAATAGTTTTCTTTCGCTCACATCATGATGAACAGAAAAGCAGAGAATTCCCTTGCGCATGGTGACTTCCAGGATGGCAGAAACTCATTTCCAGGTCTTCTCTGTATTTTAAGATGGTGGCCATGTACAATTCCCGACCCTCTGGAACAACACCTAAGTGTCAAAATCCCTACCCAAGGGGAGGCTTGCCAAGTCAATTTCCCCTGGTTAGTCCACCCCTCATGTGTCTTTTAGGAGTCAAATAAACTTGAGCCATGCCCAGGTTGATCTCCTGTTTGGGTCAAATTCAGTTTTATCCAGCATCCCATGCCCTTTCACATGGGATTTATTATCTCTCCATGGTTCAGTCCTGTTTCTATCTATTATCAATATTTTTAACATATATTAGTTTGTTGTTTTACTGAGGAATCAGTTGTTTATGATGTTACCAGAACATTTAAAGTATCTGTGAACTCCTAAAATGGCAGGAATAGTGTTTCTTATTTTAACCGTACTGAATATTGTCAGCAGTGCATGGAGTGTGCTTGCCGGGCAGAGAGAGCAGATTTGTGGAGCCATTTATTGTTGATGATTGGAAATCTCTTCTGAAAGACTTCTGTAAGGATGTTCATGGGATTTTAAAGGAAAAACCATTTGCATTCTGGGGTCACAGGTTTGTGTTATAATTATTTTCTCTATCAAGCTTCAAACCCTTTCAATATGACCACCATCAGACCACAAAACTGTGGTTGTTTAAAGGAGTGGTCATATTAGGAGAAAAAAAAATACCGGTAAATAAATTAAAATGAAAATAAGAAAAAGGCTGACCAACCATTTGCTGCGGGTCAGGAAAAGTGGTAATAATAAGGTGGTCATAAGGCAAGGTGCTAAAGTGACTATACCCCATGTTGAGTATATATGTCCCCTCTACAGAGTCCTCTTTCTTAGATTGACTGGTGCACGATATTGTTGTTGCATCTCAACAAGATGTAAGCACAGAAATTTGATTAAAAATAAAAACATAATACACTCACTGGCCACTGGCCACTCCCCCCTCCCCACTTCCATGGCAACCAAGTTAATTTCACTACAGGGGCAATGACTTCTTGGATGGAAGTGCTTATTGGAATTGGGGTGCGTATTAAAAAACAGAACTCAGTGGGGAGCACTTAGTGGAAAGGCGGAGCTTATTGTAAGGGGGGTGTTAAATCATATATAATTTACAGCTATCGACTAACGATGCAGGCGAAACAGGTGGCTGCTTTTACAGGCTGAGTGCTGCTACTCTCTGGAATTTTAAATCAGGCCTGATGCAACTTGGGATATCTCGTATACTCTCTCAAACTTTGAAGCCATGATAAAGAAAAAGCAACAAAAATCTTGGTCTACCAATATTATCAATCCAAAAAATAGTATTTACCAATCCATGGGTCACTGACAAATCACGTTGTGATGATTATTCCAGTCTAGGAGCTGGAATTTGTTTTGAGGCAGCAAGATACCTGAAACTGCACTACAACATGCAACCAGTCCACATGTTAATATCATCGGCAACAGCACCCCAGGTCAGTAGAAGTTCATTATGATTAGACAACCATTGGAGAAGAAAGATTGCATGAGATACCAAGAGAACCTTTGTGTAGGATGCTGGAGCTATAGTTTGGGCTTGTCACACAGTCTATATACCCCCGCCCATGAACATTCTTAAGGCAGAACTGCCTGACAAGCCAAAAATTTCTGTGTGGGAGCACTAAAGCTACGTCGCAGATGTAGAGCATCAGGAAACTTTTTCAAGCTTGTTGTTTGTAATCCTTGTCTATCTGTCCCTGCCATTTGTATTTCTATTTGCTTTATTCGTTTTCCAAATTGAAAGAATAATATTAAAATTTGTAACAAAACATCAGTGTGAAGACTGTTCATTGTGCCAGTGATGACAGACAGTCACTGGTAAAATCTAAATTATGTCGTTTTTTATGTATTTCATTTTTTTTTCTTTTATGTGCTTTGCTCTGGACAACAGAATGGTGTTTGTTTCAATTTAATTCCAACCCAAGATTCCAAAAGGCTCTCATTGCAGTATTTTGTGCCCCTAAATCTTCCCCCTCCTTGCCCCATCGAGCCAAAAGCTGCTCAATGCCAGATATTATTTCCTTGTTAAGGTGTGCGATTTCCAATTCCCTCTTTTACTCACAGATACCAAGAACAGTGCTTGATGTTTCAGTTCTCAGTGATGATGAATTGATTCACAAAATTCGCAGTTGGGGTGGAACACCAAAAGCACTGACAGAAAACAAAGACATGATGAAGATCGCAGTGCGTGTATTAAGAGCTGATCTCACACTCCTACACAACTACAGGTATGGTAACAGACCGCTCCCACTAGATCTCTCCTCTGTTCATATGATGACGGGCATGATAATTTTTACAGAAAAATGATCGAAACGATTATTAGAGGTTTACACTTCCTACATTACTTGCAAAAAAAAATTCGGACGAGTTAAATTTCGGACAAAGAAAGTGTCCGAAATGAAACCGTCAGAAATTTTTAACCATCCGAGCTTTTAAATAGCCCCAAAGCCATTAGTTTCCTTTATGGAGAGAACTCTAGTTGAGAAACTCCTTGAGATGCGTGAGGGCTTTATAGAGTATTTCGTATTTTCCCGTCGTTGTCTCTGTAAAACCTTGAAGGTGCAGTAAAACTATAATTTTTACATAATATTATGTTTTTTCAGTATAAAACGTATTTTGTAGGCGTAAATTTACGGAAGCTATGTTTCAGCAAAGTGTCCGAAATTTTTGTCTGAAATTTGTCCGAAGTGAGATAAAAAGTGTCCGAAATTTTATCGCCCGAAAAGAAACGTCCGAAATTTTTTTGCAAGTAATGTATTGGTTCAAATCGTATGTACTAGTTCCTTTATTATTTTAAACAACCCACGTCTTTACTACGGGCATTACTTGACCGTCCTAACCCTTCTTAAAGAGATAGGAAGTTTCCTCCCTCCCGCTCCCCTTGCACGCTACCAACCACCAAAACTGGAGAATCCAATTGCTTCAGAAGCATGAAGCGACCTAGCGCATTTCTCCTCTTGAGAATGGGATACTAGTTCTTCCCAGTATCCCCCAGCATTTTCTTCGGTCGGCTTTACTTATCTACTGATACGCCTGGGCTGGAGACGAATTACCCGACTCTGAATTTATGTTAGGTGACGGTTCATTCCTCTGAGACGACTTATCCGCCTCAGACGGATAAATCGTCTAGGTATAAATCCAGTGATTAGACGAATCATTTTGCGGCCAAATTCGTCTTCTGTTGATTTGTTTGTCAGTACGTTGTACCCGTCACAAGCAGACTAATTACCCCTCTCACTTGGTCAATTCCTCTGAACAGATAATTCGTCCCAATTATGAATTAAATTCGGCCAGTTAAGTGTCTTGCTCAAGAACTGTAACGATTGAGGGGCCGATCGCTCATTTGAAGAGCTTTATAGAAGAACTTACTGCTA